CCCGCGTCTCCTGCATCGGCAGGCGGACCCTCAAGCACTGCGCCACCAGGGAAGCCCCAGATGTTCTTTTTGTTTTACAAGTCCTTCCTCACTTGCCACTACCCACAATCTGAAATGCCTACTCCATGCCCAATACTCCTAGGGAGCATGAACATGTGTTAGAGAATCACAAAAGATTACTGTACAGAGCCATTATTACTAATGTCACTGGGTCATATTCTTCAAGTATGTTGGATTATAAATAAAGGTTTAAAAAAATTGTTCTACTTTTTAAAGAAACAGTTTTCAAACTGCAAAAAAATGCAAATTTATTCAATCTGCAACATTATTATTTCATAATAAAAAGAAACTGACTATATTAAAACTATATAGTCAGGAAGAGGAAAAGTCAACAAAAAGAACATTTTACTTACATTAATGGGAAAGCAAAAAATGGGAGTGTCATGGCAAGTCTTGCTGTAAATTCATCGGGAAGGTACCATAAGTATACAATTAAACATGTAAACAGATAGAGAATTGAAGAGTAGAGAATTAATCTTCCAACCCATAATTTTTGTAATCTCTGATTTTTTTCCCTAAATTCTTCCAATGCTTGAATTTCCTGTGAAGAGAAAGTTATTATGTATTATTAAATCTCAAATTCATAAAGAAATTAAAATGGTAAAAAAAATTTTAACATGATAGAGAGGTTATAAAGAACTCTTAAAGATTCAATGAAACATAATACCTTAATATTTTAAACAGAACATAATATGAAAAAGAAAATTTAAAATGAAGTTAAAACATATGAAAAATATCTATTATGATTTGACAAATCTTTTTTAAATTAAAAATTAAGATATTTAAAAATAATATTTGATAACCTATCAAATTAGTAAAGATCAGAGGTATAAAATTGGCATCAATAAATAGTCTTTGTTAAATCAAACAAGTAATAATTCTCCCTGTATAAGGCCTAAAAAAAAAACTCTGACTATAAAAAGAATTAATAAAAATTGAAACAGTGACCCATACTACATTCTTTCAATCCATTCATCACTCTCAATATTCTCAAAGAATAACCATTTTTTAATGATAGAAAGTATAAAAAGCTATGAAGTTTGCAAACTGATACAAATAGTTGCAGACTATTTTATAATCTACTTTGTCCTATCTGTAACATTGATTTACACCATGCTGTAGATCAAATTTCATTCTAACATTCACTATTACCTGACACAGACTTCTTAGGTCACTGATAGACTTTGGATTTTAACATTGAAGTTCTCAGGCTTACTCTACATCACCTCTAAATTCCCATACCAGATCTAGTCTCCAAAGTAATATGTACTAAAATAATATTTATGTAACACCTAAAATGAATTAAAACACCCCAGAGCCAAAGAACATACCTTATCTATATTTTCCAGAACCTCTACAGTTGAAGGTTTTGTCTGTTATAGAAACAGAAATAAGAGACAGCATTAAAACCTGTTATCGCTAACTTAGAAACACTTTGACTTATATAATCATAAAAGAACATTTTAATCCAAAATTAAGTTTTTTCAATGTTATCAAGCAATATGTATTCCTGTCTTTTTACAAATGAGATTTAGACTTAAATAAAAACTATAACTATAAACAAAATTACACAAGACTAAAGAAATAAGATGTACCTACTTAACTTAAATTTTTAGTCCTAGAAGTACTTTCAACTCTGATGGCTCAATTTTTCCCATCCTTAACCAATCCCAATAAAACATACTTTTACTGAGAGAAAATTTGTTTAAATTTTCCTCCAAGAAAAATTTTCTTAGATATGATTATTAAAAAGAATTCTATTAAGTTATTATAAATTATTAATTCTATAATAATTCTATTAAATTATTATAACTATAAATTCTATTTAAAAATTCAAGACTAAAGATGGTCTGATTTACTATTGCTAAAAGTTCACTTAGGACTCTGGAGGTCGAAAATCAATAGGCTACCTTCATTCTGAATTCCTAAAGTACAGATCAGATTTTTAAAGGGCGACTAAGAATACTTCACTATTGCAGAGCTTGTTTGTCAAAGATATTTTTTATATCACCTAGGATAAAAACCAGCCAAAATGCCTCATACAACCTTTGAAAAAAGTAATTACCAATTATATACTCAACCATCTAAGAGGGTAATGATTATCAATTCATTGTAGGGCCAACAGGAGATGTTAATATTAGGTTGAACCATATGCAATTGCTGTTTATGTAGTCAAAACTGGCAGTTTCATATGGTTCAACCTAACAAGAAAGACAGAGGAAGAATAGATAAATTTGATTCTCAGGCAGAACTGTAATAAGGTTTTAAAGGGGGGTGGAGGATGTCAATGTAATGCCAATCCAAAACAAAGCATCTCCAGCAACAGGCCAAAAACTAAATTGTGTACCAAGTATTGCTAGACTCCATTGTTATGGTAAAAAGGAGTCAAAAAATAAGCAAAGTAGTTGTCCTAGACTACATTACCTCCTCTTATATTAGAGAAGAGCATTGACCAGAATATTTTATATTTTACAGCTCTAAATTTGAGATACTTCCTCTAAAGACTTAGCCAATAAAATCAAACTATATTTTTAATTTTGTTTAACCTATTAATTCCTAAAAGTATACCTAGTGTGACTTTAGTAAATATTTGTGACAAGCTTTAAGCAAAAAGATATAGACTATAAAAACATAAATATTGTATAGAATACTTAATTTCAACTATCTTTCAAGTAAGATTGAAATTTAGGCAGTATGAAAACAAGAAAAGATAACCATTTGTACACAAATGTATAAACAGAGAAATAAAAATAATTCATAGGTCAACGTGAAATAATTCTGTTAAACAGAGACATCAGACACCTATATAGCAATTAGAACCATTAAAGTCCTAATAAAAAACTAATTCATAAGACAAGAAAGAAACAAAATTAAATAGAGTTAGGGATAATATTAAACTACTACTCAAGTCTACACCACAAAGGAGACCCTTACAAATAGCTTTATGTGACACTTTTATATTAGACTAAGAACTGGCTGTAAAGAAAAGTAACTTACCCTCCATCGAGAAAATAATCCACCCATTTTTTTATTTGTAGAAACTGGGCACAATGATAAATATCATCAGTTGTCCAAAGGAATTCACAGCTAGAAATAAAGCAATTATTTTTAAAATTTAAGTTAAATATACAGCATATTCACTATAAAATTTAGATGTTGCAATACTACCCAAAAATACTATAAAATATTAATTTATTTGGACTCCACTTATGTGGAATTTTAATTCAAACAGTCTTGCAGACAGCCCACCTTTTAAAAATTCCTTTCTTCCAAGCCAAAACATATTTAAAAGTGAAAATAAAGCTGGAAAGACTTTTTAAGTAACAAGCCATTTTAAAAGTGTATATTCATACCACTTTGCAATTTTCTGTTCCTTAAAGTAGGTCCCCTATATTGTTCTTCTAAGAAAAATTCTGCTGTACTACGTTTCTATCATTCAGCTGTCTCCCAACTAAACTAGTTATTTGGAATTAGGGGTGCTCTACAATGTTTAGAATAATATCACCTTACAATAATAGAAAGCCAACAGGATTTTGAGTAAGAAAATAAGGGTTATAAGGTTACCTGTGACAGTAAGCATATCATTTAATGTTTCTGAGCCATAATTTTCTTTTCTGTATATTAAAGTTAATAATACTACCACTTTTCACAGGATAACCTTTATTATTACCATTTTACAGACAAGAAAATTAAGTGGAAAGAAGTTTAGTGATTCACCCAATAGCTCAGAAGAAACATTACCCAAAGCCACTCTATCTTCAGACTTCTGGTCTGTTCACTACCGTTCAACACCCAAATAAACATTTCTTTCTGAAATTGTGTCTAAGTCCCTCAAGGTAAACTGTCACGTCAGCTAGTTGTATCTCATATCCCCTTCTTTTAGTTGTTTTTCTATGACTCTCAAATGTATTATATATTACCATACATATAAAAATGTATCAGCAATATTATATCCTAAATCAATTTACCAGTCAATAGTTATATAATTTTTAATTCTTTTAAACTGAAATAGTGAAAGTATATTTTCAAACTTACATAGTTTTACCAGGTTACAGTTATATACTACCAATGTATAAAACTGCTTCATTTCCACCTAAAAAAAGTTAGGCCATAATTCTTACATTTTTATAAACTCATAAATGTAATCACAAAATAATGCCAGTACAAAGTAAGTACATTCACTCTGCAATACTATTTTTAGGTTGGAATTAGCATCAGGCATGCCTATCTTGAACTTTCTTGGTTAGAGAAGTAACAAAAAGTCTAATTATGAAACACACAAAGTGATTTTTACCAACAGAAATACCTATAATCTGTACTGAAAACTTCTGAAGTTTATAAATGTAATCAATGTTATAAGCCACATTTAAGTTGCAATCTAAATATTCTTAATCCTTCAATAGTAAATCAGTATTCAAATTTCTAAAGTGTGGTTGTAGGAAATCCAGGAACTTTAATGAATAAAAGTATACATTTCTGAGTTAAGACATTAAATAGATCTTAAAACCTTAAGATGCTAAAAATCACCAAGAAAGGTGGCTGGGAAGGGAAGATTCAGATGAACCACTTAACTTGTATATTGTCTTTCTTTTTTTTTTTTTTTTTTTTTTTTTTTTTCGGTATGCGGGCCTCTCACTGTTGTGGCAGAGCACAGGCTCAGCGGCAATGGCTCACGGGCCCAGCCGCTCCGCGGCATGTGGGATCTTCCCAGACCGGGGCACAAACCCGTGTCCCCTGTATCGGCAGGCGGACTCTCAACCACTGTGCCACCAGGGAAGCCCTGTATATTTTCAAAGTATACATTATCCCATGTATACGCTGAATGTATGTGCTATACACCACTATGTATGGTGTATAGCACAGTGTTTTGTACACAACTGACCTACACATTTTGGTGTGAAACAGTTTATAGCTATCACAAATCAGAATTTTTAATATTTGAAAGTAATGACAACAATAATATCATTTAAACACTTGGTAAGGACTTAATCTTCTAGCAGGCCCTAAAACAAATGCTTTTCATGAATTTTATCAGTTAGATACTACCATCACTCTATTTTACAAATGGCAAAACTGAGTCTACAGAAGTGAAGTAATTTGCTAAGTTCCCAAAGACAGTAAGTAACAGAGCCAGACCCAGTATTTTAGTTTTGATTTTTTAAAAAGCAACAAGTTAGGCGTAGTGGCTTAAGAGATACAAACTACTATGTATAAAACAAATAAGTTACAAGGATATATTGTACAGCACAGGGAATATAGCCAACATTTATAACTATAAATGGAGTATAATCTTTAAAACTTGTAAATCACTATGTTATACACCTGAAACTTATATGATATTGTAAATCAATTATAGCTCAATAAAAAAGGCAAAAAAAAGCAACAAGTTACTTCTAATAACTCAAAATCAGAAATTAAGTCTTTCTGTAGATTAGATTGGAATATTTATATATAAAACATATAAAAGCACCTCAGACATTCTCAAATAGCTGGTAAACAGAGCTACTGAAGTGGAAAGTTATAAACATAAGACACAGGGTTAGTACAGTGTATCATGTAGCCAAATTCCTTCATTTGATTAAATCTGAATGCTTAAATCTGCATGGAAGAGAAGCTAAATGACATGCCAAAATCATGCAGGTCCAGCTAGGGGCAGAACTGGTGCTAGAAGTCTGCAAGTACTGCCTCTACTTGTTTACTGCACGTCACTTTTAAAATTCATGTAATATGAAATGTATGCATAATATTACAATTAATACCAACTTTGACATTAATTATTTGCTTGGAGAATTGTTTTGATGTTAATGAAACAAATTACATAAGATCCCTTTAAGATCCCTGAATCAGAGAACTGTGCTTCTAAATTTGTCCTCTAGAACAACACACTATAGTAATAGTCATTAAATGCCATATTCATCCTTTCAGGTTCATAATCAAAAAGCCAATCAACCCTCATTGTCCCAACTTTTTTTCTATCAAATTCTGGTATTTGTTAGGGAAGCCTGATTTACTATAATACACATGTACTTTCCAACAGATATGAAAGCATAACAAAATTAAATAAATCAACTATTTCTCTACAACTTTAATTTCATACCTCTTTTATTTCCAAACACTTTTTCCCTCCTTGCCACCTGAACACCTTAACTCCAATTCCTGTGGCCCATTACTATGAAACCTTGGGCAAATAAATAAATTAACCTCTCAGTTACTCATTATCTTCATCTGCAAAAGAGCAATAGTTAAGAACCCTCTCAAATGTTGAAAAGCTTAAACAACATAATGTATTCTAAAGTACTTACAACAGTGCCTGACACATACTAATTTCTCGATACAAATGGTTGTTTTTACTGCTGTGGTTGCTGCGCTTTTCTAGTCCATCTCTGCTTCCTTTCAACACATGGAAAATACAGGGGAATCAAATAACTAGCATTTCTTTCTGAAGCATAAGTCAATTTGCTTGCTCTTGAGTGGACAGATGGTTCAATCTCAAGTGGCCTGTTCCAAGAAATCTTCCGTGAACGTGTATAAAGAGTCTCTTTCCACTCTGCTATCACTATGGGACCTGACATGACCTTAAGAGCTGGGTGCATCTAATGTGTTTTTCACTAAATAATAACACCCACCATATTATTTGAATGTTTTCTATTAACTGCTATTCACACTCAGGTTTAGGTGTCAGAATTTGAAATCTTGGGATGTGTTATTCTTAAATTTTGAGCTTACTTCAAGTCATATTGAAATAATGGAATAAAAAAGGTCTTGATTCAAAATATGACTCAACCACATACTAGCTACGTGATCTCGTATAAACTAAACTCTCTAAGCCTCAGTTCAGCATTTGTAAAGCAGTGAAAATATCTACATCTACACTTCACAGAATTGCTGCATGAGTTAAATGAAATTATATATCACTTGGTAATGAAATAATCAGTGTATAATAAATTACAGACATTATTACTACTATTACCAAAAAGCACATGTAGTACGGCAATACTTCTTATATGGAACACATTTCTTTCTAACTTCTTATAAAGAAGCTGTTTCATAATTTTTAAATTGGAAAATAAAGTTAGTTTGTATTTTAACTGAAATTGTATTGCTCTCATTTTCTCCAGTATAAAAAATAAAACAAAATACTCTGAAGACTCTTACATTAAAATAAACTTTAACAGCAAAGGAAGTTTAGTTTTATGTTTATCAAGTTCCAAACTTAAGTAGAAACTATTGTCACCATCAACAGTACCTCTATAACACACTGGACAATTCAATTTGAGATTAAAAGTGTTTGTTCTATAACTCTTTCAAATATCCTAATAGAAAAGATAATTCTGAAATATCCCAAACTACCACATTTATTGCTCAAAAATAAAATTACTGAAAAGAAGTACATCTCTAAAAGCACTTTTATTATACAATGATTAAGTTCTGGTCTTCATGGTAAGTCAATGCTCATTCTGAACTAAATACTACCAAAAAATGACTATTTGATTGTAAAGATTTCTCCTATAAATCATACCTGTTGTAAGCCATATAATTTCTTCCTTCTTTTAATTCTTTCATGTTAATAATATGTAAACACTAAGGTTTTTAACAGCAATGGGTTGATGCCAGTAGATGACGGAGAAACTTGAAATTCTAATTTTAAATGTTTAAAAAAAATGTGTTGAAAATCAACTTAGTCCTCCTAAAATGAAACTACGGGGGCTGCTGAAGACATGAGATTAGCATTCCCTGCCAGTTTGAACATATGCCTAAAACCAAGTTTACTCACATCCAAACAAATTGCTGTTGAATTTTGTGTGGTGACAATTTTGTCAATGGTGACACCCAGGCCACTGAGAAAGGAGAAGAAAGTCGACACTAGGCACCACAAACCAGAAGCCTACTGGGAAAAGCGGAACATGGAAAATTCAGTGAGTCACAAATTTTACTTAGAGTGAGGGCACCATCAGCAAAACTGCGTGCACCAATCCCAACTCTCTCTCAATCCCCTTACACTGTATTCAATTAAAACTATGATGTAGTTTAGATTTGCTCTTCTCCTTCTGCCATGCCTATGACACCCACGCAATCTGGCCCTTCCCTCCACCCTACCGTTGCTCAAAAAAGGACTACAGTCGAAGAGAGGCTTCTCTAAGCAGCATACAATCCACGCCCACACGCCTGGGCCGAGCAGCGTGACACTGACAGTTTTCGGTCCCTCTCGATCTCACCAACTCGTGGCGCCTCCGCACAACTCAGCAAAAGACGACAAGGGTAGAACCCACTCAAAGCGATGGCTTAGTGGACTTTCTGACCCTTCGACCGAACAGGGAGGTGGACCAAAAAGACGATGCTCAGCTCAACCCAGTCACTGCCTCCCTTCCCCGCCCCGAATCTCCGAGAAAAGGCTGGGGAACCAACTCCCCTCGGGACACAGAAAGGGGTCTCCAGCACTCCAGAGCCACCCCTGCCACTGTGCTGGGAAACCAAGGGGATCAGGGGGCGAGACAGGATCAGCACGCAGCCGGGCAGGAGCTCGACTAGCCGCCGCCGCAGAGCTCGTAGGCCACTCGGCATGGGGCGGAGACGCCCGGGAGAGGCAAGCGGGGGAACCCGAAGCGTATTTCCCAGGGAAAAGCTCAGCGCATCTCCCCTCTGCTG